AAAACATTGGCTTTCGTCCAAAACTGATACGATTACGATACCCTCCCGCCTGTCCAAATCGTTGACTGTTTGTTTTTGGTTTTCGGGGTTTCTTTTTTCAAGTCCCGGCGCTTGCTTTACCCCATTTTTCTCCGAGGCCGGGGAATCAATCATAACAACACAATCATGGAAGCCCCAAAAAAGGAACTGATAAAAAACAAAAGAAAGAAAGAACTTTTTGACAATGGAAAATGAAATTACATTCAAATCAGTTACGGTTAAAAATTCCAAGTTGGGTAAAAATGGGGTGGGGTGGGGGGTTATGCCGGCGAGGGTTGGGAGGTGGGGTCGGCGGAGGAGGGGATGTCCGGCCCGACTCGGCAGCCTTCGAGCATGAAAACGATATCGGACATGGTCGGCCGATCACGGGGGTCGGGTGCAGTGCAGAGCAATCCAACTTTCACGCCCAGCAAGAACTCTTCCCACTCTGATGATTCAGGATCCAGCTCAAGCAAGCCTGGTTCTAGGAGCTCTGTAACTTGGCCTCTTTGCAATTGCTTTTTCACCCACTTGACAATGTCTTCATCTTCTGTGAACATCACCGGTTTCTTCCCCGTTAGAATCTCTAGCAACACTATGCCAAAGCTGTAGACATCTGATTCCTTGGTGGCTTCCCCTGTTAGCACTGCCTCTGGTGCAATGTAGCCCAATGTTCCCACCAAGGTTGAGGTGGATGCTTCAGCCGACGTGACGACTGTCAGACGGTCCAGCCCGAAATCGGACAAATGAGCTTCGAAATCGGCGTCGAATAGAACGCTTTGTGGCTTGACATCTCCATGGATAATGGAGGAGGAATGGAGAAAGGCAAGGCCACGGGCGATTCCAAGAGCAATTAGATGCCGCATTGGCCAATTTAGGACATGACCATCTTGGTGAGATGCCTCCTGAAGGAGAGTGGCAAGGTTTCCATTAGGCATGTAGTCGTAAACAAGCAGGCGCATATCAGGAGGGCCTGCGTAGTAGCCACGAAGAACAGTCAAGTTGCGGTGCCTAACTTTTCCCAGTGATTCAGCTTCTTTTCTGAACATGTTTTCGTCCAATGATCCATTTGAGAGGCGGCGGATTGAGAGCACCATACCGTCGTTGTAACAAGCCTTGAAAACCAACCCGTATCGGGTTCGGCTCAGAACATTTTCCTCGCCGAATTGCCTCGTGGCCTCGATTGTTTCGGCTAGAGTAATCTTGTTGTTGAACATCACCAGCTTTGGCCCTCCATTTTCAGTGCTTCCACGCCCACCACTTGCGGCGGAGCTCACTCTAGCTGGACTCGTTTTCTTCTCCCCTGACGCCCTCTCTTTGAGCCTCTTCCGCCATCTTAACAGGCTGAAAATGTAGAAGCAGCAACACAAAGTCAAGAGGCAAGCTCCACTGGCAGCAACAGCAATCAATAGTATCAACCTCTTCGTTCTATCTTTTTTCTCTGTGTCCTTACAATTCCGAGCCAGTGGTTCCCCACATAGACCAGAATTATTAGCAAACACCGATGAGTTGTTGAATCTAGAGCCTAAAGGGGGTGGGATTTCGCCTTCGAGATCATTACTCGAGACGTTTAAGCTCACCAATCCAGCAATGGAGCTAAGATTAGCGGGAATCACACCACTCAAATTGTTGGAAGAGAGGTCAAGCGTGGTTAAGTTCAAGAGTTCCGACAACGACTTCGGTATGCTACCGGAAAGATGATTCGAGTCCAGAAGGAGCGACTCCAAAGACGAGCAACGAGAGATCTCTTCAGGTATTTCCCCAGTTAATTTATTCCTACCCAAATCAAGCTCTTGCAGCTGAGATAAGCGAGAAAGATCCGCCGGAATATGCCCTGATAGAGTATTTGAACGGACCTCCAAATTTTCAAGATCAGAGCAGTTTCCCAGCTCTGAAGGAATCGACCCGGAGATACGATTATTTGACAGTGACAGAGAAACTAGTAATCGAAGAAACTCGTAATTTGCAGGGATTTGGCCGGAAAAGCCGTTCGAGCTCAGATTCAAATACCGCAAACCCACCAAACTACTAAACCCTTCAGGAACATTCCCAGACAGCTCATTCTCCTGTAGAGCAATAACCTGCAAATTAGGCAAACCAGAAAGCTCAAATGGCAACTCCCCAGAGAGATTCTGTTTGCTCAAGTCCAGAGTTGTTAGCTTGAACAGATTGCCAAGACTGGACGGAATCCTCCCAGAAAGACTATTTGCACTCAGATTCAAAATCTCCAGGCGACTGAGGTTCCCAATACCAGTTGGAATTTCCCCAGAAAATTTGTTCCCACCGAGTTCCATTGCCGTTAAATTCCCGAGTCCCATTAGTTCCAGCGGAAGGGTTCCGTTCAAGCCGTTGTCCGCCAAATTCAAGATTTCAAGCTCCAAAAGATTGCCCAGACTAACCGGAACCGCGCCGGAAAAACGATTTCCTCCGAGAGACAATCGTTTCAGACCTCTCATATAGCCCAAAAACGTCGGAAGCTCCCCCGTGAAGCGATTCTCTTCGAAATCAATAACAGAAAGCGAGGCGCAGTTCTTGATTTCTACGGGAATCGCCCCGTAAAACGAATTATTCGCGATTCTGAGTTCTTGCAGTCCCAAAAGATTCCCAATCCCGGGTGGGATCTCGCCAGATAAATCATTGACTGAAAAATCCAGGACTGTCAAAGTCGTAATCCGCGTTAACCACAAAGGAAACTCTCCCCTTATCTGATTGTGCTGGATGTCCAGGACCTGCAGAGCACTAAAACATGTCGCTATCTGAGGCTTCACGATGTCCGTGAACGCATTAAATCCAAGTTGAACGATACGAAGCGACGGCGCATGCGTCGAGACGTTGCAGAACATGGAGTAAGGAACTGATCCAGAGAGGCTATTCTGCGAAAGCGAGATGACTTGGAGATTCGGAAGCGCTCCAATGGCGGCCGGGATTACGCCTTGGAGCGCATTCCCTCCGGCGCTCAAGTGAACGAGCGACGAACAATTAGCAATAGCAGAAGGCAATGTCCCTTCCAGAACATTGTTGTCGAGCCAGAGGTGTTGGAGCTCTTGAAGCTCCCCGAAGCTCGCCGGAATCTCTCCGCCGAACCTGTTGAACGAGAGGTTGACGACCTGAAGGTTCGTCATGTTCACAACGCTCCTCGGAATCTGCCCGAAGAATCCGTTCGACGAGAGATCAAGATACTTCAAGCTCCGCGGTAGGTCGCCGGAGATGACACCAGAGAGACGATTCTCCGCCACGTTGAGAATATGAAGATTCGTCAAGTTACCAAACTCCGCCGGCAGGGCACCGGAAAACGAGTTGTACTGCAAGAAAACAGCACGAAGTAACGAGCATTTGGAGAGAGAAGAGGGAATAGTTCCGTTGAATAGATTGGAGCGGATACTCAACTTGCGCAGCATCCGCAGGTTGGCCAACTGATCGGACAAACGACCGGCGAGTTGAAGACGAGGCAATCGGAGTTCGGTGACCCGATTAGCGGTGCAGACAACACCCCGCCAGTCACAGGGCGCCAATGGCGTGGAAGAATCCCATCCGCCCAATGCAGAGAGAGGATCGTGAAGGTTAAGTTTAAACGACATCAACGCCTGAATCTCTGCTAGGGTTTGGGCGGTGGTGTCGGCGGAGGACGAAAAGGGGCCACAGAGCAGCGCAAGAACCACGAGAAGAAGCTCCATAGCCATGGAAAGCGAAGGCTAACACAGCATTACATCAGCATTACATTACAGGAATCAAAGAATGGAGGGAGGAATAAGAAAATCGAGAGAAAGAGACGTTGGGGGAGGAGGAGAGCGTATAATGTGGGGACGCAGAGGGGAGAGGGGGCCAGAAAAGGCACAGTGGCGCACAAAAATGCAGAGCAGAGAAGACGCGGAAGTGAAGAAGAGAGTGTTTTGTTTTAGCCAAAAAATTGTGAAGCAGAGCTTTTTGAAAGGGGAGGGTTAGAATTGGAATACCGATGGTGATGGGCTGGGCCGGGCCTCACGTTTTACTCTCTTCTCATGTGATTGTGGCTTTTAATCATTATTACGCACTCTCCCTCCCTTCATAATCTTCCCCTCCTTTTTCCTTTTTTTTCCCTCCCTTTTTCTCTATGCTATTTAATACTTTCTTCCCACAGAGTCACTATTAATAAATTTAATTTATTTGGTGTTTATACTCTTAAAAAATATCAATTTAATCTTTATTTGTAAAATCTTTTAATAAAAATTTATAGCTACGTTTAAAAAAATTTAGTGGATGAAAACGAAAAATAAAAGGACTAAAATGGCCTCCTTTAAAAAGTCTGGAGATTAAAGATAGATCTTTCAAAGTACCATGACCAAATAAACAATAGTTGAAAATACAAAATTAAAATAAAATAAAAATATATATATAGAGATGTATTTAAATTTAAATTTATAGTTAAGGTTTTATTATGTCCTTTTAGATTTGTTTCTCTTCAGGTAAATAAAGAAAACTCTCTATAATGTCACCCAATATTAAAGTGCTCCAAGTCAAACACTTTTGAATGAGTCGGGAAAAAAAATATTTATTTGGTTGGTATGGTTAGGAAGTTCGTAACTTTCCTCTTTTTTTTTTTAATTTTTCTTAATCATTATTATTTAGGCTTAGATCTCTCCCACACGTGCACGGTTCATTTATATACCTCTCTATATAAGTATTACAATTTTTATATAGCTCATAGGTTAAAATAAATCTTTAAACATTTTATAGACCAAAATGATTTGTTTAAGTTAATGAACTAAATTAAATATTTTGTGAGGTTAGGGACAAAGATGGAATAGATTTGAAAAGTTTAACATATACAATTGTTTATTTAATTGTTTTTAATAATCAACTCCATAGCCGACAAATGCACACAATCATTTTAAGTTTATTGGAATTTTTTTTATTATACTTAAAAAAATACAAAGGGACAATGATGTTGATGAGTGAGTGAATGAAACAATCATTTGGTTCTATGGACATTTTTCCCCTTAATATTATATTATAAGATTTATAACTTTAATTTTAGTATTTGATATAATTTATTGGCTGACTAAAGTTAGGAGTTCAAACACCTTGACTATGAGTAGATTGTTTTTTTTTTTACATATTTTCAAAAAAAAAAATTATTATTTTGTTGGAGTTAAAAAAAAAGGTGAAGATTGGACACATTTTTATTTTTCTTATTTTTTATTTTTTTTTATATTAGTAAGAATGGGGGAAGACAATGAGATATGTCGAAATTTATTTTGAAACAAAATATAAAACGGGCAGAAAGGTAATTCCACTAAATTGTACTCATTTTTTGGTCAGCAATGGGCAATTAGTTTTCGAATTTCTACTAAAATTGGGTTATTCTTTTGAAAAAGAACGGTTTGTTGTCACATTACATATTTTCCTTTTCGAAAACGAGAATAAAACATAAACCAAACAAAACAAAATTGTACGACCATACTGGAGAGTAAATAGGATTGCTTGCTAAATTAAAACTTGATCTAAATTTAATTTTAATTTAATTCAACTGAATAAGTAAACTTAAATTAAATAAACAAATCACCTATTATGCAATCTAACAAGGAAAACCGTAAAAATTAATTAATTCACTGTAAATCTAGTGACATGCCATTGAACTAAGGAAACTAATCAAAATATAAAATATAAAAGTGCTGGGAACAGAGATGGCAACGAAAGTTCTTGAAAAATTCCTATTTCGCTTCTAAGATTCTTTGGATGTGATTGATTGATCACTCCTTTAATGGACTTAAGAGTAAATACTGTACCGATCATTTTACAGATTCATGATTCAATTTATATTGATCATTTTCATTGGTTCACAATCAAACTAATACAAATACTTTTTTCTAATCTAGGATTAACCAAAAACAATATAAGAAAGTTCCACACCTATACAAGTTCTCACTAACTACACTCTAAAAAGAAAACTAATCTCTCAAAATATGATTTTCTCTCCCAATAAAATTGAACAAAATGAAGCTTAAAAAGAGGAAGAAATGAACCATAGTTGGATTAAAATAGAGTTTGAAATGGTTAGGTTTGCAAAGGGAATGCAAACAAAAGTCCCACTTTGACTAGGAAATAGCATGATACGATACGTAGGATATAGATGAACACAATTATCTCCATAAAACTTGTTAGATGAAACAAAAATCAAATCAAATAGAGTCTTTTATTTATATTAAAAAAAAAAAGAAGAAAAAGAAAAGCCAATACTCTTAGCCAAGCAAAAGCCACGGAGAACCTCAAAGAACATTGTGAAATTCCATACATTTAAGAATCAAGACTGCCTTTTTTGCCCAAGACACTTCCTCCTTTCCAATTCTATGTATCCATATATTTGTTTGCCAAAACTGTTCCATAAATTTTTATGTACTCTGCATAATTTATAGAGGATGCAATTATTATGCATTTAAAAAATTATTGGTCTTAAATTTATGATGTTTGAACGAAGGATACATCAAATTATTCTTTAAAATATATCACTCATTATAATGATTAAACTATATGAAAATATGATATTAAAATCAACAGTCATCTAACTATTAATTTGTATTTTAAAAACTAACTTTTTCTCCATATTCAATGCACGATTTGGACATAAGTAAGCTACACATATGTGGTCTTGCCTTGATTTCTTAGGCATAGCATGTCTATAATCAACACGACAATATGTTATATTGTCTCTATTGTCACAATTATAGGCTAAAATATATGCACTTTGTCTTTCAAATGTCTATTATTTTCAATCTCATCCCACACTTCTTAGAAAATTATACATATAACACAATCAAATCTCTACTTAAACATGACACTTCACTAGCTTGGTAAAATATAATTGCACCACACTTAATTAATATTTCAATCAATCAAAAGGGGGAAAAAATCTATTTCGTAATTTTTAGGTTTATTATCGTCCATCCAAATATAACTCAACTAGTCAAAATATCATTTACCTTTCTAAAGATCATGTATTCAAATTCCTCCCTTTCTTGTTAGACTAAAAAATGTAGTATAATAGTTCGCTGAATCTTGTCATCATATTATCATTCAATTCGTAATAGTAAACCCAACTTCCCGACAAATTAACTTGATGAACCAATGAGTTAACTGAACAATTAAGATAATCAATAGAAAGTTTCAAAGTAGAGACACGGGAATTTATAGTGGTCGGTTTGCAAAATCAACAATTCCACAGTCTATTAGATTTCAATGATTTATGCCGAGGTTTCAAGGTGTGTAAACAAAGTTGTACAGTGGTCAGAGAAAGAAGTGATCGAAAGTAAAGCTGTGAGGATTTTGTCCAAAGCAGACAATACCGTACCATTGTAGAGATATCAAAACCCTAAGTGTGTGGCGGGAAATCTTGAATCTTGGAATGTTGAACAAGTATGTAAGGTAATTGATAGTTTGGGTATGGTTATCCTCACAATTTACCCTTATGAATTTACCATTGGTTTCAACTTTATGGAGGGAAAGGCGAAACAGTGGTTGCCATAAAAGGACAGACCGAATATCGCAGTCATGTATGACATAAAATGCAAAAAAGTGAAGCAACCCATTTCTCTTTCTAATTGTTACTGCAGAATTCAATTTGGGGCTGTGGCTGAGGCAATGGGCGATGTCACAAGCAAAAGCAGTGACAGAAATTTCTGTGCCAACTCCACCCTCTTGTTTTTTAGCTCACCATTTTCTTTTCATTTTCAAAAATCCAACCAATTCTCTCTTTCGCCCCTAATTTCTGACCAAATGTAATCCTCAAATCCCACCCTTTTACTTTCCCCTTTCTCCAATTCCATAAAATCTCCACATTTGTTTTCTTTTAATTTGTGATTTTCCTTTGTAGTTTGTTTGATGGTCACTATCTCCATTCTCCTCCCCCCTTGGACTTTTTAGTCCAAACACACCAATCTTAAAACTCCCATTTTATCACCAAAAATATTTTGCCCCCAACAAATTCCAAAAAAAAAAAAATAATAAAGTTTATAAAAGAATGGGAAGGGGGTGAAAACTATTATGAAAATTGGATGCGACAGATTTGAATAATTAGTGTCTATGTTAGCGGGAAGGGAGTTGGTTGAATGTCATCGGAAATTTCTTTTGAAATCTTGGAGATTTTCATGGTCAATGTCGCCCATCAATAATTGTCCAACTAATCTTTCAATCTCTTTTCTTTTCTGCCAAAAGTAATTCAATCTTGAATTTGAATCTTGTGTACGGTGCTGTTTCTTTTTCTAATAATTATATGCTTCGTTTTACCTTTTTTAAATCTTATCCGCCCGTCACATTAATTTCTCTCGCTCGTTTCCATGAACCCCAAAATAATAATAATAAATCGAACTTTTTTTCAATTTTTTATTTATTTATTTTTTTTTCACGAGAAGCTACGTGTGAATAAATAAGCTAATGGAATAATGCAACGGAGAGAGAGGGGAAGGCATTAAAGAGAATTAAAATTGCAGAATTAAGTCGTTCCAATAAGTGCATAATTGAGGAGTTAAAGGGAATTGGTTCAGCTTTTTCAGGACATCTTTATTATGAGGCCAATGAAAGCACTCCCACTTTTGCGCTGCGACCAGCTGCGGATCGATGCTTTTTCCAACTGGGCCGGCCCAAAACAAATGGATTGGTTTTCCAAGCGGCCCATAACTGAGTTTATGAGGTAACTCTGTTTTCAATGAATTAAATTGAAACACTGTTGATACTTGATACTGATGGTTTTAATCATCCGGTCGTTTCTCCTCTACTTTCTTGACTTTTTTTTTGGGGGAGAAAATAAGAGAGACTAAAATTAATTAAATAGTTTGAATGTACCAAACCCTGCAAGAATAGTCAACTTTTGTGAAATCATTAAAATTTTAAAATGTTTAATCAAATGCATAATATAAATTCTTTGAAATGTCAAAATCTAATAAGTAAATACATCAATAAACGTTCCCGGCCATTTGGTTGGAGGTTTCAAGATCGATAACGAGCTTGAACATAGAAGTCATGTTTGGTTGAAGGCTTAAAGCTATTCATGACTTCGGATAAATTATCTTTTTTCCAGATATCATATTAATAAGCTAAAATGTAGAGATTTCCTTTTTTTTTTTTTGTCGATCTCCCACTTCAGTGAAGTATTTTTCTTCTCTCTCTTTTTTTTGTTATTTTTCATCTCTCTTTCTTCTTTTTTTTAAGGTTCTCTCTTCTTTTAATTTTAGTTATTATAAAAAATTCAAATGTCTTTTCTATCCATAAAATTAAAACAACAACTATTAATTAATTTTGTGTATGTTTAAGGATCATTTTAATATAGATTATATTTAATTTATGAAATTAACGTTGATCACGGTTAATTAATTAATTTACAATTATCTTTTGATTCATAGACATCTTATTCCAAAAATATTAAATTAAACCCAACCAAACGCCTAAATATTTAATCTTTGCCCCATCCTTACTTAACTAAAAAGGAAATATTTTTTTTAGGTGGGATCTGGAAATAAGATATATCTTTCATTTTCTCCCTCAAAGTAATTCATTTGAGGGTTCCTAGAGAAATTTTGTTTCATTGCATCATCAGAAAGTTCCCCAATTTTTTTGAACACTATGCCAAATGAATCAATAATTCAATGAAAAGTTGATAGAAATCTACAGCAGTAATTAAAAAGTACTGGAGATGATCAGGGTGAAGAAGGTCCCCATCCCAAATCAATCTTATTATTATTATTTTTTTCTATCATCTCTCAACCACATCCTCATATGAATTTCTGCAAATATATCCCAATAATCAGATACAGTGTTACACACACATCACTCCATCATCTCATAATCATACCATATCTCTGTCAATATCTAACTAAAATCTTAAGATTAGATGACATAAGTGGAAGAAAAGCAAGGCATGTTACTGCAATTAATTTTACATCCTGTCTTTGATACTGATTGTTCAAAACTTCCCCATTGCATGGCAAGTCTTTGTCAACATATAATGTAATGCCAAATGCAAACCTTGTCAAATAAATTACAACCAGATAAATTAATGAGCAAACCTTTGAAAACAAGTGGGATTCCACCCTCCAAGATTTCCCAATTGTCGTTCCTTCCACTATATATGTGTATATTTCGCACCACAAATATCGAATCTGGTTAGGTAGAGAGAGATGATAATCAAGTTTTCTGTAAGTCACGTGTTGTTCATATGGCTGCCCCTTCTGGATGAGGGGGGGCCCAAAAGCTACAAATTGGGACCCATGTAAGATATGAGAGGAGAAAATTGTGGCTGAAATCAAAGCACAAGCCAATTTCAATGTCCCCACACTCTTTCCATTATGTGGTAATTAGTGAATGGGTTTTCAAATGCGAGGAACTTAGGAAGATTTTGACACAAACAAATCTCGCTTGCTATTAAATTTCTTTCTGTTTTATTTTTTTTAATTATTCTTTGTCCTTCTTTTCTCGAACCTCCTTTCCCTGACAATTCCACCCACCTCATCTTTTTATCCTTGTTTATATTATATTATCTTTCTTTTCTCTTGTCTCCATAGCCATCGTTGGGAATTATTGTTATATTATAACCTAACAGCAGCAGCAGCCGACACCGAGAATATCAGATATCTGAACTTGGGAGGGACGATCAAAGTGAGATTCTAAACACACCCTTTTCAGGTTTTGATCGAATTATGTGCTTTTCATCAAGTTTATGAGGTGGGTTTTTGAGATTGAACGTAAAGTTTTGATCTTTTCTTTAACGTTGTTTCTGTTGTGGGTGGCAATGAGTGGTGATATGAACCATCAGTTTTGATGAGGATACTCTGTGACTCTTGCGAAAGCGCCGCCGCGACTTTGTTTTGTGCTGCCGATGAGGCTGCCCTTTGCGCAGAATGTGACACCAAGGTAATTATATATATCAACACTATCACTAATCTCCTCATCTCTTAAAGATTAGATATTCGAATTGGATCTTCTGCTGATGTTAGATAAATTGGCAGGTGCACATGTGCAATAAGCTAGCGAGTCGCCATGTGAGGGTTGGGCTAGCGAATCCGAGCGAAGTTTCTCACTGTGATATATGTGAAAATGCACCAGGTTTGACTATTTGTGTTGCTTTGGAGGAGATAAGAGGGTTTTGTGAGGGTTTTGGATGGTTAAGAATTAAACATTATTCTGATGGAGACTGTTTTACAGCTTTCTTTTACTGTGAGGTAGATGGGAGTTCCCTTTGTTTACAGTGCGACATGATTGTTCATGTGGGAGGGAAAAGAATGCACAAGAGATATCTCCTGTTGAGGCAGGGAGTTGAGGTTGGTGAATCAATGGTTATAGAAAACAATAATTACAAAGTTGTAATTTTGTTTGGCTATTTTGCAGTTTCCAGGGGATAAAATGGATAATATCAAGGACCTAAATGCACAAGTGGTGGAACAGGATGAGACTGTGAGAGTCCAAAATGAACAGCCAGGTGAGAAGCAGCAAAACCTGAGGGTCTCAGGAGTAAAAGATTATTCAAATGGAGATGGCCGTTCTTCTTCTAAGAGGGGTAATAAAGTGATTGATTTGAATATCTAGCCTCCACTCTCGCATTGAATCGCCAAGCTTTCAAATAATCAGGTGTTTATACTTAATATGTTGGGATTTAGACTTTTCAAGCTCAAGAAATGAAATTGAGATGCTTCCCATCTATCCCATTGGGAATGACTATGTAGTATGTATTTGCATTTTCAATCTCTTACCATATAAAAATATTTGTGACTGAACCAAAGGGAAGAAAATAATTAAATGTTTCATCTAAAAATATTTAAATATTTCCAAGCATTTTTAGAAACTTCGACACGCTACAAAAGATGAGGGAAATCTGTTTGTACAAGTCATATCAAATTCACTTATCAAGCGCCACAGTGAACGCCTATGACTTGTCTAAAGTCACAGCATGAATGAACTTCAGAAACTGATGCTGGGGTACAGGATCCCTCTGAACATGGTGATTAGAAGAGTATAATATTTATTTACAAATCAATAGTTATGTACATCATCATGCTTGCTGTCCAACATTATAATTAATGTCTATTTAAGAGTATTTGCTGATCCAAATAGGCCAATAGGGTAAGAATATATACAAATACAGATGCTACCCAAACCAGATACCCCATATAATCAAACCAGATACCCCATATTATAAGAAGCTCGCTTCATTTTCTTTAAACAGCCATTTCAAATTGAACAAGAGTGAGAAGCAATCTATCCAACCTCCATAATTAGCTTGGAACAAACGGACATGGGCAGCAAGGGTCCTATATCTCATGACTTGAAGAGAGTAACTGTGGCGATGTAACCATTTTTCATCACCTGTCAATGCCATTGATGCTCGTTAACACCCGGCCTTATAATAACACAATCAACTCATAATGGCTGTCTTTCATAGAAGAGGGAACAGAATGATCAAAATCATCTTTTCTTTTTCCTTAGGGAAGGTGCAAATTAGGACACTAGTAATAACAAGCAAAAGCGTAAAAACTCACCTCAAATGCAACATTTTGATAGCCATAGACAAAAGTAGATCCGAAAGGATTGTTTGTTGAACCTTGTGTTTGGATAGCAGCTCGCCCACAATCCCCAAGGACTTCCTAGTTTCATATAAAAAACTATCAGACATACCATTTTTTCAAAAAGCACTTAAACAGATGAGAGTGTAAGAACTCCAATCTGGGCAAAATTTGATGATGATTAACCAAATATAAAGAGTTATGAATCCATTACAGGTAATAAAATGTCAAGCAAAGCAACCCAAATATTGCAATCAAATAGGCTTAATAAACACAGTTCTAAACCTACTCCCGATGACTTCTAATACTATAGAAGGTGACCCTATTGATAAAATGCGAGCAAGATTAACTTTACCTTTACATCTTCCCACTTCGTGCTGGGGGTAATAGTGCTTCTACAGTTGGTTTCATCAAAAGAACCTGAAACTGCAGGAAACAACTACAATAGTCAATCACTCTGGCATGCACAATTCTGAAGAAATTTGGACTGTAATATTCCATGTAAGTCCGCACCATGGATTACAAAATTGCACTTGATGTATGAGTTGAAATCAGCATGACCAGGGTAGTTAGTGTGCAAAACAAACTTCTTGATTTTATGAGTCTGCAAACCAAACATGGTACTTTGAGAACTATAGAGCTCAAAGGATCAACATTTATCATCTTGAGAAACACTACATGATTGTGTACCTGCCCATCAAATAAGATGTCCAAACCACGGGTAAAATAGTTGTAGAAGTAGTCACCACAAAGGGTTGTCCTAGGACGGGGATCCGATGCAGAGTGAATAACCATTTGATCTACCTGTACCCAAAAAAAAAAAAATTGGTAATTCGAAAATTTTAGAACCGCAATCCAAATTTTGTTTCTTGTTTTCAAATAGTTAAAATATGATTAGCAAATTTGTTTTTGGATTTTTAGTGTTCTCAGATTTTAGATTTTTAATTTTTAATTTTAAAATCCAGAATTAGATTAAAAAAATATAATATTTATTTATAAATATATTATTTCATGTTTATAAACTTATTTCATTTTTGTTAAAATTAAAACATATATAACATAATATATTATAATTATATAATATTGTAAAATAATAATTATATAAAATTTATAACATATATGTTAATAAATTAATTAATAATATTTTAGAATAAACTAAATATTTAGCTTGTGACTATCATATCACTATTCTAATTGTTTACAAATATATCACCGAACACATTTGAACAATTTTTTAAATTGATATTCAATTTATAAATCTACAACAAACACATGCTCGAAAATACTGAAGACATGGAATACAACCTTATTTTTCAATGAATCCTTCGTTTTCAAAATTCAGTTGTCAGATTATCAACCAAACATATGCTAAGCCATAGGAGCAACAAATATCTAGAAACAATTACATGTAGGCATTCTTGATTTTTTAATTATATAGATATGCACAAAGATTTAACTAGTTTATCTAATTATGCCCAAGAATGCCTGATAGCTTGCAAACCTAAGCCAATAGCTTACTACTTAATTGCTCCCCTTAAAATAGGTCAAGACTTCAACCAGAAAACTCAGCTCAACATAAATAGTTGATATATCTATTATCTAACAGTCACAATTATAGCAAATATCGATACTCACAAAACTCTAGTTCAAAGTGGTAGGTAAGGAAACCTGTTTTTGATGGATTCCACAAGGACGCCCCAATTCAGTCCAAATGTCCTGCAAAGAATGTGTGTATGAGAGAAAGAGTACAATAAAGAATAAACGTGTAGTAGGTTATGAACCATCTTTACCAGCAATAGAAAATTTTTTGGTCAAGGAGGAGAAAAAGGGACTAAAATGCTATATAAGAGAACATAGAATTTTAAGAAAAGTAAAAAAAAAGCTGCAACTTTGAGAGAGGAAGATAGTATCAACGGTAGATGTCTCCTACAACCATCAAGAATCCCATAAATATATTTCTTCCCTCTGTTACTTGCCATATTTGTTTAAAGCAAATTTGGAAATGAAGTCTAAATGGTTTTTTTTTCTTTTTCTTTTTTTGCACGTGGTGAGAAAACACAAAAATACCTCCCACCAACTAAAGGATGCATTTTTTCATAAAGAAACACCCCACATTTATTGGTGTGAGAGAAATTCTAACTTCTGTCTCTTGAAGTTAATGGTCCTTAAAATGGGTTTCATTAATCAAAACAACCAAATATTTGTATGTTATTACTTTAATTAATCTGATACATAGCTTTAATATTTTAGGATTAAAAGGTAATTTAACAAGTAACAACAAAGCATAACATGGTGCCTCAAAGTTACCTGCGGTGAAGCACCAAAAGGAATATGCTGACTACCAACAGCAAAGTATAATTCACCACCAAGCTGAAAAACAGAAAAAATTAAGCAGGTAGGCAATTCAGATGACAAAAGGTGCAAATGAAGAGAGAAGGCAGACCTTAACATGGACCTCCTCCATATAGAGGCTGCCAGCAGGCAATGGGGGAGCAGAAGCCTTATCCATTAAGGCTCCTACGCCAACCTTTTTTACTGTAGAACTATCAAATATGGAGACACGACAGGCCACTGGGGTTGTGCCATCAGGAAACTCCAATGGTAGTTCCGCTTTTATAATCAAGAGTAGCAAGTTACTCTCCTCAGAACTCAAGAATCCAAGAGGCAGGTAAACTAGTGAATGGTAATCATGATACAATACCTTCACCATCATGGCAACAATCTGTATACTGGCTTGGTATTGGAAATGCAAAAGAAAGTCCCTGCAACATATAATGAATATAATCGAAGACGACAAATAAATGTCAGGCAAAGAGTATATATATCACTTTACAAATGTTGGCCTGCAAAGTGAAAATACATACCAGGTAGTGAAAATACATACCGGGTAGAATAGAGTGTAAGCACCCCTATCTTTGTCATAGATTCCAGGAAAAGTTGGCCCAAAAAGCGCATATACTGCTACAAAGGTAGCAAGATTTGATGGTCCTCTGCAATTAAGTAACGATCATCAATTTCTGAATAAGATATTTTTATGTACCATACATGAAAGTTCAATCACCTACCCGATCAGAGAAGTAGCATATCGCATTTGAAGTCTCTTTACATCAAATATTTCAATAAGACGTAGCCTCTAACAAGTAGTGAGCAAGCATTAGTTAATTTGGAGCAAAAAGTAACTTGAAACTTATAATTCCTTAAGAAGAATTAAGGTGTTTCTTTCATAACTAATTCCTTGAGACACAAAGATGCCTAATCAGCTACGGCCTTTGCTTATAAAATACTTGAAGACAACTATAATAAATGATGATAACGGCAACAATTTAACAATGATATTTAAAAATTAAATCATGTCACTCTCAAGAAACCATCTATCCTATCTCTTTTTTAATGCATTTTCAAGGGAACAAAAATACCTGTGACCAAGGGTCAAATCGAAGATGAAAGCCATGGTCTGGAAAGCTGATAACAATATCGAGTTTCAGAGGCTCCTACAACAAAAAAGAGTAACATACAGTATTAAACCAATTGCAGTGGAATGCATTCAACTACTAGTGAAATTCAACTATGAAGATAAAAAAAAAATGTAAGTTCTGTAGTAAATTTCATATTAAGCATATCCGACAACCAATCAACAATTTCAGCGGAGTGATATCCAGAATTTGACAAGAATGAATCAGAGAATGCACTTAATTTAACATGGCCAAAAAAAAAATATTGTAGTCTAGAGCTACACCTCGTCGAAGTATTTCACATGGACAACGTCATAGATGTTGGGCCGCTGCTCTATTTGTTCAAATGCTTCGCAAATTGGCATTCCTGAAACATAAATGAGGTACTTAAATGTTGACATTCACATTAAAACGAGGACTTCCTAATCTCTAGCACCAGCAATTCATACCCCAACGAAAATCACCAAATGTTAAATAAGGAACCGCAAAAACATCTAATTCGAAGCAGCCGATAATTTCTACCGTAATAGTCCCGCCCGCGCAGTAGCCGAGAAAAAGTAAACGAAACAGAAGCACGAATATTGGAATCGAAATCAATACTAGGAATTTCTATCTCGGACTTCAGATATTTCAAGGGAGGCACACAATCAAATTGCAAAGAAGAAAGGGTAGGGATTAGGGAAAATTACCGAGATTGAAGGGGCCGAGTCCACGGCCGGGTTGAAGATCGAGGACGATGGCACCCATAGCCGTGCCCTCACAGCGTCGCCTCGATCTCTGCATCTTCGGCCTTGGCTGGTTTTCCGTGGATTGATGGTTCACTTTTCTCCGAAGCTTTCGCGAAACAGACAGACAGGTGTTGAAATTTCCGATGGGAAGTTTTTTATTTCACAGTTCTTCTTCCTCTTCGCACGCAAGGCCCCAAACGCAGGTTTGCAAAGTATAATTTACAACGTTTTTAGTAGGATTGGTGGAAGTAAAAATTTAAACTCACAAATTTCTAGTTCTAGATAGATATTTATTGTGTTCCGGCTTCAAATTACAATGATGATAATTTTTTAAATTTGTTCATTTTTTCCACCAATAAATTTCTTTGGAGCCAGAAATATGATTTGTATTTTAAAATTTATATAAATAAATTTTTCTATAATGTTATGTAAACATAATTCTACTTTTTTGGCAAGGAAAAATCACGTAATTATAACTACTTAATATATTAAAAAGTAGAAATATCAAATTTTTAATATATATATATATATATATATATATATATATTTTAAGTGAAACTGAGTTAGTTAATTCATATATTTTCCATTAAAGTTGAAAGTAGATTTAAAAATGTAAATGATCTTGGAGATACAACAAAGTTTATTTTTTATGTTTAATAGAAAACTAAATTGCATGATTAAGTAAGTTGGATTTGATTCTTTAGTTTCGATGAGATTTGACCTTTATTATCTTAGCCTTCGTCTTTTAATAAGTTTCAAATGAGTATTTATATTCGTTGCATATCATATATAATATTCAATGCTTAAAATTTTAGTAATATTTTATTTAATTTGTCAAGCTTGACATAATTCAATTAGTCAAGATCCTAATGACCTTCCTTACGAGTCATAGCATACATGCATATGAATTTTGATGGCTCTAGATTTAGTTCCTAAATTCGAAGAGGATTTAACTATATATTTTTGAACTTTGAATTATAATTTTCAATAATCATTGTTATTAATACTGATAGTTAAATGGTGATGTGATTCGTCTATTGTACGAAAATTAACTCATTTGATAAACAGAACAATAGACAATGTTACAAGAAAGTGAATACTCGATCAAATAAAGTGACATGTATAACATACCATACTTTTTAGGTAAGGCATAAAATTATTTTTAAACAAGCTCAATGACATGATATTTTTATTCCTCAAAAAAAAACGTGATATTTTTATTTTTATAATGTCATAGTTTGACATATCATATTGGTTGAAAAAACATGAAACCTAGATTAAGTTGCAATACATTAACTGAAAAATAGAAAACTACCCTCGCCGCCTCACGTAGCTTTAGAGTACAGCCTATATTATATAAACGAGAAAAATAAAGAATAAAAAAAATTAATTGGGCCTCGTTTCAATTGGGACCACTTCACAAACCCAAATTCGTAAAAATAGATAAATAAATGAACTGGGCCAGTGGCTGATTATAAATGCCCCTTGGGCCTCAGCCCTGTGTTAATAGAATCTAATAGTAACTAGTTAATATTCACAGTTCCCTCCATAACGAATAACAATAATCCAACGATACAATAAATATTTGAATAAAAATTAAAAATTAGTAATTGACCTTGTGTTAGTAGCACAGTAATTTTGTAAAAAAAAAAAAAAGTACAGTAATAAATATACATATACATATGTCAATCCGAACATAGTTCAATTAGTTAAGCCACCTATATTCAATTAAAAGATCGTGGATTTGAATTTCAATCTCACACATTGTATTTAAAATAATAATAATTAATAAGAAATCAATATATTTGAAATTATTGAATTAGAGACGGTAAAAGAAAAATGATTCTCCTTCATTATTTCTCCTTTTAATACAGTGAAGAGAAACTTTTTTTCTTTTCAAATTCACAGAGGCAAAATTGAAAAATATTTATTTTCTTTCCACTAACATAGATAGCTTTAAATTCCGAAATGAAAAGATATTTTTTATTTAAAAAATTTGGAGCTACGCAGTCTTAGATTATTAAGCAACCACCATATTTTAAATTTATAAAATTAAAGATATTTTTCAATTCAAAGATTTACATTAGATCACGCGCTGAAATTTTCAATATGTTTAAATGGTTCTTTCCTGGTACAGTCCTTTAGACAAAGACAGCGCTATTTACCTCCAAAAATATCTAAATATTATTTTGTTTTTCTCTTTTGGCAATTATGTTAAGGTGGATTAAACCATCAAACTCAATTTATGTAGTAAAAGACTATTTAATCCCTTTGAGTGTGCGCCATGTTCCAACTAATTTAGAAACAAATATTAATATAGGTTAATATTTGAACTTATTACGATAAAGATTTAAACTCACAACTTTTTAATCGACGACAAATGTCATATTCAATTGAGTCATATTCAGTTAATATATTCATTAATATTTGAATATAAATTGTTAATTAAAACATAATTCAATTGGATAAGATATTACTTAATGCTCACAAAATTAGAGGTTTGAATCCTCTCACTCCTACGTTGTACTTAAAAATGGTTAAAACATTCATAACAACTTTACAGTAAAGAAACATATTATTATTATTATTATTATTATTCACGAATCACGTGATTATATGCGTGGGTGCATCTTTTTATGAATTATCGTTCGAATCTCCATCTAGTTCTGTGATGTAATATTAATATAGAATAAATTCTTTATGCACGCACGCAGACACAATATTATATTATAACAAAACAATTGTAATAAGCCTTACAATAATTTCTCAAAGAAAAAAAAAAGAAAAAGAAAAAATTTACAATAGATACTGATTTTTTTTTCCCCTTCCCAACTGTAAAAAGTATACAAATAATTAGCTACTTTCTGCTACAAATCTTCAGTTTTGGATATTTTGAGTTCTAACAATATAATTGTTCACTTACACATATTAATATCTCAATGCAAAAGTTGAAAAGAACATATTTTTGTTTTCTGATTAGGTTTACAAAAAGGGGGAAAAAATAAAAAAAAAGGTAAAATTAGAATCCGTTGGAATGAACCGAACACCACATTTTTCAATCATTTCTTCAACAACTTGTGAAAATAACATGCAACCTAATGTGGCTCTCTTTAACTCGACCTCAATCTTCTAGTAGTCCTGAATTTCTTTTTTGTAGTGAAACTTCTGGAATTATTTATTATTTATTATTTATTTTTGCTTGTCATTGGGATTGCAATGGGCAGTTTCTGCAAATGGGATAAAAACGTGAAGCTAATGAAGATGAGACAAGTGTTTTGGGGATTTTGGTAATTATCTTATATTGTGGATTTTAAATCTTTTGATGGAGAATCTTATCCCAATTGCAGGGATGAATTCGCCAATCACACTCCTTCAGTGGGATAAAGGCAGCACGTCTGCTTCGCAATCACATCAATAAATGGGAAATTAGTCCCATTTTTATACCTTAGATACTATTCGATGGTCCCCACACCTTAGAATAAKCCGTAAAATGTACGTTTAATACTTTATCTAATGAGTTACGGGATTTAAAGGTTATGAGTTTGAATTTTTACCTTCACATATTATACTTTAAAATACTTTAGTTTGCTAAATATGTTATACCAGTTTTTCTCAACCAAAACTATATATTAATTTATTTTGGACTTTCAAGCTCTAAATTTAATTATATTTTCATCCCTAAATAATGAACTATTTTAAGTATCTATTATCTTATACCTTTTTTAGTTGCGACATATAAACGGTGAAGATTTGAACTTTAAGAAGTTAATTATATATATTGTTGATTTATGCACGTGTTGGTTATTATTTTTTATAGTTCACGACCTCTTAGTTGGAGGTATATGCCAGTTATCGCTGAGCTATGTAGATTTCTTCTAGTTTAGTTTAATATATTAGACTTTTAAATTTAATAAAACATTATAAAGTATAATTAATATATGTTTTCCCTCATTCTTTTAAACCTTTTAACGATAGTAGTAATAAAACCGTTTTAATAGGCAAACACGGACTAAATTACAAAAGTCTCCCTAAAATTTGATGTTTGATTCAAAGGTTTAAATACTGTCATTGAACTTATATAAACATTCCAAAAATATATTTGAACAAACATTTGTTAATATTTTGAATGGAAAGTTGACATGGTAAAAAATGTAGAACAACGAACGGGGAGTAGTGAAGCTTCTCCCAACATTTCCTCGTGTTATTCCAAATTTTACAAAGTAAACTTTATATTCAAAATTTAAGAGATGTTTTTATAAAAAGATATTTTCTAAAACGTTTCCAAAAGGTAAATGGTACTATCGAAAGGAGAAGGGTATTCTTACAACAATGGGAAAATTCGAAGGGTCTTTTTTTTTTTTTTTTATAATTTACCCCAGAATAAAATTAGTACTTGATTTTGTCCTAGTTGTTTTAAACCCGCCTTTGAGCATGCATAGAAATTAACAAATTCTAGAAATTAAATGGCGGCAGTTTTTTGTTCCTGCAAATGGTTAAACAGTTATTTGTTGGCATCAATTAGGTGGTTTCGTAGATTTATTTTCTTGCTCTCTAAGTAAATAAATTTTATGTTAGGTCACGCTCAATCTGGTATATTGCAATTTAAAATGCAATCACTTTTAGCTCTAATTGCTATTTTTGTTATTGTATCGTTGAATAATAATTTCCCCAGTTTAGGTAATAAAAGAACTCCTTACATTTTTATGGGATTAAACCGTCCTTTCAATTCATTCATATATCATTTGAGAAAGGGAATGAACAAATGAGGATGTCCATATGTACGAGGGGTATTTTGGGAACATTACAGTTCAACATACAAATACAATTCAGCTTAATCAAAATGAAGTTTTTTTCCTTTTCCATAAACACGGCCATTAAATCACCTTCGTTTTCAGCTTATTGAACTTTTAGTTTTTTTTTTCCCTCTTTTTGTGTACTGGTTTTTGCAGAATGAAAAATCAAACAGAAAAGGCGAAGATTCCATT